ACCTTTATTTCACCCCGTCACATGTCTTCCGCAACCACGTCTTTCATCGTCTCTCAAGCGACAAATCTACGGCCCACTTGTCAGATACCCACAAACCAAAATTCAACCGACGCACCACCCTCCATTTGGTATTTGAGACGGGACACTCGAAACATACTTCTTTTATTCACGTAATAGACAGAAAACTTTCATCCAAAGTAATTGGTGTGAAAATGCAAAATCACATATTTGAGATGGGTTGAGCGTGAATTGTGCACGTGCAAGCTTACAAGACCTCTTCGTGCTTCGTAATATCATCATGCTGGCCATCAGCTGGTCTGGTTCCACCCACACACACACCTCACATTGACTTGATGCATGCAGAGTCAAGCAGTGGAGACTTCTAGCAGTATCATTACGAACCAGTTGGGAAGCGATCAGAAATGGTAGGGGTGCGAAGACTGGTGAATGTTTAAATCAACGTGTGCACACAAATCCATGGAAAAAAACTATGAGAAAATTGACATGGCGACTATGAGCGGATGTATAACGGACCAGGGAAGAAAGGAACCAATTTGCGGCATCGCCAAATGCTCTGTCGTATTCTACGATGAGCGAAAGATACTTATTCCTGTTAAATCGGTCTGTCTTTTGGGTTTCAGTGGAGCCAGACTGTCACACTGGAAGTTGTCCTCGTCTCTAATTGGATGTCATTCTTTAAAAAAATAGCATAAGCGTGGAATTGCTAAAACATTTCCAATGTGGTAGCTAGATTTTTATTTAGTGTGGGTTAGGTTACGTTAATAAATACAGTAAATTCGATTGGATTGAGGTCTTACTGGCAAAGAGAAAATTGACGGAACGAGTTTTACCTGGCAGTGGCCAGTATTTGCTTCATGATTTCAGTGGGAATATGTGTTACGCTGTCTGATTGTCATGTTTTATGCCGAAACTGCATTATAAATTTGGCTGAATATGAACATTACCGGAATAGTTTAGGAGCTGGCAACAAAACGTGATCAACACACCTGATCATCACGCCTCAAGCCATTCACACCTTCGCATGTTGCCATAACCACAATGCCACGCCAGTAATAACCGCGGACGCATTCACACCGTTCACGCATTAATCTCCGCGCCCACAACCGAGTGACATCCGCGTGTTAAGATGGCATTCCAGCCTTCGCAAGTAATGTTCGCGATTTTACTGGACTTCACTACACTGTTTAGTTCCATTATTTGAGCCAGATCCAGCGAAAATTGGACAGTAGCATGTGAGTGGATTTCGACTGAAGTCTCACCGCTGGACGGTTGGATCCACCGTCATCGAAGCTGTCCACACACAAGCAGATAAGTTCCCAGATACGTCGAAGAGATTCCGGTACATAGACAGAAGCTGGATGTGATGTTCCGGAACTTGGAAAATAAACTCAGGGAGTAAAGACGAGTATGCTGTGTCACAGACGCCGAAGTGGATCACTTTGGTCCATCCAAAGTTGCCCTTTTTATTTCACCACGTCACGTCTTCTCGCAGCCACGTCTTTCATCGTCTCTCAAGCGACAAATCTACGGCCCACTTGTCAGATACCCACGAACCCAAATGCACCTGTCACCCCGTCGCCCATTTGAAATTTGGGATGGTTCATTTATAAAATACCTATTTTATTCACTCAAAACTCTCAATTAAAAAAAAGTGGTGTGAAAATGCGAATTACAGATTTGGGACGGGAAGGTGTGGAAAGGGTCCAAGAGAGACAGATCAAATCGCATATGGTCTCCACAACTGTAGACCATTGTCATGGTGCTTTGGAATGCTGAGATCCAGAGGGTAGCCTTGAGTTTCGGAGATATTTCGGAATTGGCTAAGTGGTAGGTGATGGTGTGTTCCATCAAGAAGTCGATAAATTGGGGTGAAGGTGACGTCTGTGTCAGCACTGAATTTTGGCGGATTGTGGTTTTGTTGTCGGAGGCAGCTGGCGAAACTGCCGTAGTATCCACTCTCGGGGGTCGCATTTGCGACTTTCAGAGACTTTCCAGGAAGTGCGGTCGATGGTTAGATGGGCGTTGGTGGAGGCATATTTTCCTTGTCTTGGTGGACTGAAGGGTCCATTTTCGTGCCTAATTGTTGTCCAAGCGCTGTTCTCAGTCTGGCCTGTACTTCAGGCATTTCACGCATCACATGCAACAAATTCTGAAGTACCCCTGCGCAGTCGTTGAGAAGAGTGTTCTTGTCTAGCCGACTGTGATTCCGTGGCTTTAAATGACGAAGTCGAAATTAGTACCCCGTGTAATGCAATCCAATTAAAAAAACGACCAATTCATACTTACGTCGCCACCAACCAATGACATCGCTAGGTCATTTAGCTCTGTCATCTTCTCTGAAATACATTCTCGACAACGTCTTTCGAACTCCTGTTTTTTGACCTAGGAACAAACAGGCGAGTTTATTTAAAGGCTGAAACATTGGGAATTATTCGCAATGGTAGATGGAACATACCCTCCTCATGGCCTGTCGTTGTTCCAGCGGCAGTGTTGATCTGCGTCCATGATTGCTTAATCCACGAGTCTGCTGCGCAGACATCTCGAAGGGACGAGCTAGTGACACGTGGTGCCTGTGTAGGGGCTTTTATTTGTCTCGGCGAAGCGTGGCACTCATTGGCTGAGACAGGAGCCAATCACGTGTCAGTGAATGTGGCTCATCCAGACACGTGAGACCACGTGTTCACCAATGAGAGACAGAATGCGTTTCTTATGCACGTGTTCTGATCCCCAAATTATCCTCGTGGCACAAACAAGTACCTTTATTAGGCAGAATTAAAATGTCAATTTCTGTATCTGGTTAGGCAAGGCATCTTTAATTTAATCGAATGGCGTGTTTGTGCCCGTGGGTAAAATGCGGCAACATTCGAGGCATGAAGTTCTGCATTTTCGGCCCTGTGGTCAGCACACGACGCGTTTCGATGAAAACTTCACCAAATGAACAAAATGGACTGCGCCAAGACAATTTACCTAATCGTGACCGCACGAATGTGTCAACTTTGCTCTACGTCATCTCCGACTTACATGATCAGAGTAAGCAAAATTTCTGTGTCAGTGAGTAACTCCCATTGTCAATGCTATAGCGACAGCTTTGAAATGATGTCAAAGTTCAGTTAGATGAGTTTCCCTTAAGTAGTTGGTGGGCATTCAAGGCGCATTCGTGATGCAGTGTAACTAACTGTGAAATTTAGGGCTACACTGCCAATCCTTCGAAATCGAAAGTTCATTTCGAATAAATAAATCATTTTTTTAGGTTTTCAAAAAGCATATCGTATAGCATCAAGAAGTTATTCATTGATATTTCAAACCGAAATTCCATCACGCTGATACTGGGTTTTCCAAATTGGAGGGTGCTGTATTTGGGATCCACGAAACCGTTTTTCAGTCAACCAAAAGCCGTTTTCCCATTTTAGGGTTCTAGTTTTGATTATCACGCATAACTCGTCATTCGCCTTCTTCTCCTCTCTCTCTTAGCACTCCAAACTTGTCGTGCAATATTGGGTTTTTCTTGCTCTCACGGAATTAGTGCGTTGTGAATTATCCCAACAATCCTCATTGGATTTCATCCCAGATGTGTCGAGTTGAATTCAGCAGATGAGATATGCCGAATTGGAGTTAAATTTGTCAGTTGTAGGGGTGCTGTGCCACCTTCACATCTTGTTGGTGAGCACAGCTCTCTGGCAACAGGAAGATCTTAAATGACTGTGTCCTAGTGGCTTTACATGATGTGAACACAACATGAAATTGATGGAATCGTCAGTGAAATGCGGTCACTGGCAAAAATTCTTTTAGAGGGGTTGTGCTCATGAGCATTCTCTTCTCGTGGCGCAAACCCAGTTTTTATGATTTTGGGTCAGCCTCGTCATTCTGTATTTTCTTGTTTTAATGAGAGACAGGTTAACGAATGTGTGCGCGATTCACAAACCGCTCAGTTTGTGATGGAGTGGGCAAGGCTAACCCATATTATCCCTCTTCTTCACCCCCTCGAATCCTTCCGGCAGAGGGGTAAAAATGTGCAAGAGCTGCTTGGGATGTGTCTCCGTAAATTATCGTCCATTCACCGTTTACACATCTACGCTTGTACCACTAACTATAGGGGGTAATGCTGATGTTGGCGATCAAATCTCATGTTCTCTACAGACACCTACCATTGGGCAAAACCGATTGAATTTGACACTAATGCACCACAAGCAGAATGTCATTCGGTGGTGCGGAATTGTTTTGTGTCAAGATGTGGCAGGTCAGAGTGGTTATCAAACATCACCAGGAACCAGCACAAGCTCTTTCACCGCCAGCCTTTCACTCTCTCTATGTCGACGCCTTTCCTTTTTCCTAGCGCAACTACCGATCGATCATTCTGACTCCTGCAGGTCGAATCAACAAGACGTCGACGACACCTGTTGACAAGGCCCAGAGAGGATATGTGAAAGACTTGGTGAAGGTGTTTGGCTAAGTGGTTTCTGGAATCCCCTTCAAATCCAACATGAGATCCCAGACATGGGCAGCTGCTAGTAGTCCCCCTCCACTGAACACCTGTGTCATACACACGCTGTTGAACTGGTCTCGGGGACTCCCTTAAGTTCATTTCATTCGCTTCACTAAGCATCCACCTGAGACTGTGGCCAAGTGCAGTGCTAATATGGCGATGTAACCAGGGTAATAGAGGTGACCACACACTGTGAAGTGAGATGGATCATGTCATGTTGTGGGCCGAAGAATGTCCATCTCTGAATGTGCATTGAAGTAAAACGTCATATTGTGACGACACTAGTGCCAGCGGGTCAGGAAACGGGTGGTGTACTGTCGAATAACTTGGCAAACCGCACGGCAAATACAATCCGGCTTGATGCGAATTCCAAAAGCGGTGTCATCGTTCATCCCTCCCCACACCCACGAGGATTTTGGGAAGTCGACAGCCAGGGCAATCCACGCTAGCAATAAATAAACAAGTGAGTTTTGGGCGATGAGGGAAGGGAGACAGACGGGCGTTTGACCCCTGAGTGTGTTGACACGGTGAGTCTAGACAATGCGTTCTGCTCCCTATACACAAACTAGCACGTGTCTCACATCACCGACAATGCGGTGTCTGCAGCTTTGATGGGGCTCAGTGTTGGAGTGAGATCAGAGCTTGTGGCGTCAGTTTGGACCACATTTTCACCCAGGTTCCTCTTGGCATCCTCTCTCGCATGCCATCTTGCAGCCGAGTGTCTGGTAATCTTAACCGGTTTACGGCATTGTCACATAGGCAGTTATTGTTGCAGAAGCCTTGTGTGATGTTGAGAAACTGGAATAGGCACGGTCTCACGTCATCAGTGAATTGCCGTCGCTTTGAAATAGATAGGTAGCCAAGTGCATGAGCAACAAAGTGTCTAGTACCCGTGGATTCGAATCGATGGAGTGAATAAATGAGCACAAACTACAGTTGATGGTGCTAACGAATTCACCGTACCAGCACGGGTTGCAGTGGCCGTCCAACTTAACTATTGCCACATCTTTGAGAAGCAGATAACCACGCTATTGGTTCACTCGTTTCCATTTCTATATGCTGTTGGCGAACAACGCAACCTGCTCAAGAGTCGTCAGTTCATGCAACCACATGAGCTTACGTGGCTGAGATTGGCTGGGGCAGTTTGGCGTGGTCTTTCTTTCTATCCTTCGCCCCTAAGAAGAAACCACTATCCAACAGACTACTGTTGCCTAACTGTTCCAGCCAGGTGATTGTCTGGCAAACGTGCATTTCGACAGATGCGTAAATTGCAAGCCCAGTTTGTGACTGGTATGAAGCAGTTTTAGGTGAATTCCAAAGTGCTGTTTTGCATTCATTACAAACCTCCCGACAGCCTTATACAGGAGTTGGAACATAACTTGAGGCATGCCGTACACGTTAATCAATTGTGTGCATGGACGAGGAGTCTACTTTGTGGAACGCAGTCGACAATTAATTGAAGCCAGCAGGGTTGCTCACACGCGTATTTCGAAGACATTGTGGAATTGCGATGAGAGTGCATTTCATCGAAGTCACCAACATGGCATGAAAAGCAATGATGCTACGCCCCTCCTAATGTGCACCGTAGTAGTGCGTTACACCACCTCCGCCGACGTGGCCTCTGAGCAAATGAGTGTTAATATTTCCATTGTTGGCAGAACACAAAGTCAAGTAGGAAATGAAGCACAATTATTCTATCATGAAGAGAGAGCTGTCGATGACCTCAAAATATCGAACAAAGTGGTGCTAGATACCGATTTTGAAATTGCAAAAGTGAAGAGTCTAATAAGGAGGCGGCTTTTGGGCAATCCAGACAAGTACTTTGGTGTTTCCGATGCTTCAGTCAGCAGAGCAAGTATCGCTGATCCGGAGAAAAACGTTGAAGGTTATGTCAACAGAACATAATTAGTGGGGCTCCTGAGCACCCAAGCTGGAAATGCGCTTACGAGGGATGAAGGAAGAGGGCATGTAGTATGGTGCATTTCGATGGACATCCGTAGACGTTGAAGAGCCACAGCTTGAGTTCAGTCTGCGTATTTACTAGGGCACTGCAACGGCTGAGTACAACACTGCATTGTGTGGGAATGTCCGCTTTCTCGGGTCTTCGACGACACAAAAACGCGTTGTCCGCTTTCTTCATCGATATATCGAGCAGATCACGCACGCAACGTGAGAGATCACGTCAGTGGGAATTGATTTGCCACGGCTTGAGCGACTTGCTATGCCGTGAATGCACTGACTCGTGGTGCACGTGGCATGGGGAACGACGCGACGTCAGTTCTAATCGGACCAGTTTGCACACCTTCATTCAACTGGCTAGAAACCCCCTCGATGTGTTCACTGGCTACATCTCCTTCACTTGTCCCACTGCAACTTGTTTTATAAATTGTGAAGCTTGCATCACCCAGGTCTTCAGGGATGACACGAAGGACTAAAGTATGCAGAATGCAAATCTTGTCAGCGATGCACGCTCAAAGTCACCCGTTTCCGGTTATCTTCTAATGTACATTATTCACTTTTGAAAGCTGTCATTGAAATTGTCTATTCTTAAGAGAAGAATATTGCCAAACATTCTATAACTATTGTCTCGTAGGTGGGCTGGCGTGGACATTCGGTGCGTGGTGTTGTAAGCATCGATTGCTCAGAGATTCATTGAAATTCCACTGCCCACATTGAACGCTGCACAGGCACTGTGCCTCTAATATCCTCAAGTTTACCACATATCCCATCGACACATTCTCGTGAGCCGTTTGGGTCAGTTTTCTGAAAAGCTCAATTATTTCATAATGACGGAAGTCAAATCCAAACAATCTAGGTCAACATCGTCATGGTTGGAAAGCACAGTTGGTGGTAAACTTAAGCGTGATTCACAAATCGCTGAGTTGGGGATGGAGCAGGCTTGGCTCCCCCTTTATCCCTCTCCTTCACCCCCTCGAATCCTTCGGAAAGGTGGGATAAATATCATTGGAGAGGGGGGAACAGGTGCGATAACTGCTTGAGCTCTACATAATCATCCACTCACTATGAACTCATCCACGGTTGAAAATCGAGCAAGAGGAGGGAGATAACAGTGATTTTGGCAAGTTAACTTCATGTTCACCACTCTTTCAATTGGGTAAAAAGGATTGAAATTGACACAAAAACATTACTCATACAACGTCGTTCGGTGGTATGGAATATCCCTTTGCCACGATGCGATTAATTAGAGGGCAGCTTCTAATCGTGGAGACCACTTCTTTTTGCAAGGAGCCACCACCTGCAACCACCACCACCGCCACAA